TCCAAATCCCAAATCTCTAGCTTTTATAGTTTTTGAGATCCCGACGTTCATACAGACGGACATGGATAGATCGACTCGGCCACCAATAATATATATACTTTATGGGGTCGGAAACGCTTTCTTTTACCTGTTAAATACTTTTCCACGAATACAGTATACCCTTTTACTCTACGAGTAACGGGTATAATAAAATCTTTTCATATAAAGAAAAACATCTCTTGACAAGGTAAGAGTGGAGTGACTTTGCACCTTCAACTTCCTATTCGGCGCAAAACTCCACTATTAACGGTCGAAAGTAATAAAGTAATCCTGAACAAGAAAGGAAGCAAACTTCGGTAAGCCGAAGCTCATATACCCTTGCAGCTAATGAAAAAACTAAATATTCTTGAAAACATTAAAATTATGATTTACTTCCGTATATGTTTAAAAACATTGAAGCAATGATAATTTGCAGTTTAATTATTCGATACTTCCTATGGCAGGTATTTCGATTTCCGATTTGAGCTAAATTAAAATCATAAAGCTGAACTCTCAACTATTTCGATTACTACTTAAAAATTTTTTTTTTTTAATTCAAAAATAAATAAGTTAACATATTTTAAAAGTTTTTTCGTCCGGATAGTACCAATAATGTTAGTATTGTACGGCAGCGCTTCGTTTGGATCTGCAAATTACGGTTTCCTAATATTTCCAGAATTTTTTCCATTATTTCCTGTGGTACAACTATATCCTCAACTTTTGTAAAATTAACATCTCCACATTTCAAAAATTAAATTTCCTCCGAACTGCTATTAGTTATTAACTTTTTTCTCTTAGATCAAGTACGACGTCAGTTTTTTTTAGTAGGTCCAGTCCAATTATTCCATCAAACGTTGTTAAGTTTGGTAGCAAGAAAAATGTTGTATTTTTATTAAAAAGGTGCATTATAAATTTTTTGTTTATTGTGTTGCGACCATGGATTGATTTTATAGAGAATGGTTTATTTACGAAAATAAGGTTTTTTAAGCCCCTGTGAAAATTTAATACTATTTTGTATTAATAACGCGAAAACTTGTGAACGCAGTAGTTCGAGACGATTTTAATTGCGAAACTTTGTGAAAACTATGTCGAAAGCGCGACGAAAAGGAGTGGCTACGAAGACGTTCGATTGATCACTAACAATTATATTTCAATAATTTCTCTTAGAACCTAACTTATGCTACGGTGGCGAGAGACGGGGCGAATTCGCAAGAGCGAACAGACGAAAGCTTTATTGGCTCCCGCTCTCGCCCTACAACTAGAGATTTAAATGATTTAAATACAAGCGCTGAGTGCGCAAACACCCTGTGTCAATTAAAAGTTTTATTTTTCTCCCTGCGATATCCCTTTCTATGAATGGGAGCAGGGAGTTATGCCTAAAAAATTTATTTCACCGTATTCTACTAGGTCATCGTCGATGTTCTCACATTCCTTTTCGGCTACTGCTGGGTATTCATCATTTGGTGGGTCGTTTTTTACAGCCAGATGGTTTATGCTCTGGTGTTTTGGTCCTGTATATCTAGCGCTACTACTATTGGGCCTTTTAATCGTCTGCCGCTTATTATTGTTACCGTTGGGTTGAATATTTTGGTGTTTTGAATTTGCCTTGAAAACGGTCCACTTTGTTGGTTTTGGGTTGGTTGTCTAAAACGGGATAATGAGGGATCAACTACCATTGGTTGTGTCGGATCCTGTCTGGGTGGTTGTTTTGGTGGTATTCTATTAAAGTAGGGTTTTTACCATATGGATTAAACTTAGCGTCTGTCGTTGCACTTCTTTGTTCAGCCCTTTGGTGTTTTTCCTCCGTGCTACGTGCAAAACTACTTGCGAACATGTATCGCTCATGATTAGCATCTACTTCTTGGGCTAATGCTAAAGCGGAAGGAAGATCGGTTGGTCTTGCCGAAAAAAGAACGTCGCTAAGCGATTTCCTTGTGCCCGAAATAAATACTCGTAGCGCATCCGCTCTATATTTTTCGTTCAGTGAGGCATAATTGTTTTGTTTATTAGCAGAGTCAGTTTTTTCTCTACTTCGTCATAGTACTGCAGAAGTGTCATGTTTCCTTGACGGAGTGTTGACATCTCCTGTTCTATTAAATATATCGGTCGTTTGTCCGCGTATGTGAAGTCAAGCCTGTTAAAATTAGCTTTAAAATTTAAAGACGTGTCGAACGACGAAAGAACCATATCGGCTGAGCCTTTTATTTTGTTTCGGAGAATGCCTAAGGCTTGGTAGTGCTTGGAACTACCATCATATTTTTCAAATACTTTATAGGCGGTATGCGCTTTCCTCCAAGAGACGTATGTCTCATTTTTTCCCTCAAAGACCAGCAGGGACTTCATAATATCTAACGTTTCGCAGCAAGCAATATCTATTATGATTTCGGCATCCTTATACGGTTCTATTTCTGGTGTGCCGATATTTACACCGCCTAATCGCTTCTGAACATCTTGTAATTTTTTCTCAAAGCTCTTTTCTTGCGCGGCAAGTGCGCTCGCCTTCTATAATGGATTTTAATTATTCACTGGTCAATGCCATGCTTGAACTATTTTGTTGTGAACTTTCCGCGGTATTTAGTTTTTGAAATCTGTCTAATAATTCTTCTATCTCTCTAACGCTCATATGATTTTAACACAAAGAACAAAGAATTTTGTTCCTTTCGTATTTAATTTTTTCTAAAAAAAAGGTTTCCGAACTTGTTTTACCTTTGATTGAGACTCTTAGGAAATCACTTTTTTAATATTTTTAAAATATTTTGCAATTTGAAAATAGTGGTAATATCAATGAACACTCTACTTACATGGTTTTTATTTAATTATAAAACTGAATGTTGTTGCCGCTGTCGGTGTCTTCCTTCTTTTAATTCAGTTTCGCTCTTGTAGATGTTCCTGGTTGTTTTTATTTGGTTGATTGTTTTTGTTGTTGTTGTTTTTTCTTTTTTTTTACGAATCGAACGCGTTTTTTAAATATTTGTTTTATGTTTTTATTTTAACGTTGAATAGAGGGTCTTACGATCGCGTTTTTTTATTTTACACGGGTCGTGGGTCTTACGACGCGTTTTTTTATTTAACACGGGTCGAGGGTCTTACGACGCGTTGGGTGCCAATTAATTATAAGTCCTGTTTAAGGATTTATTTTAAGACGTACTGTACTGTACGAATGAGAAGACTTGGTAATTGCGAGGTTTGACCGTCACGGTTTGTATCCAAAATTCAACTTACTGCTAAGTACAATAATTCTTATAACGAAAGTTAGCCCTATGCCCTAGAAGTGCTGACCCGGCTGCCTATGCATGGTCTGGGTAGCCGCCGTTGCATCAGAGTGCATTGCGCTGACCGAAGCTTGGGATTTTGGCAACTCGTTGTGCAACATCCGTAGGTGTCGCTGGTTTTGCATTATTTTAGTCGGTTATGCATGATCAGCTAACTTATATACTTTATAGGGCTGGAAATGTTTCCTTTACAGCGTTGCAAACTTCTGACTGAAATTAAAATACTTAAGAGTATAAAAAATTCACTCAAAGAAAATATTGTAGTTGAATTATCTAACCATCTGGGAGTTTGCCACGCCTGAGCTCAGCATCCTTATCGAATTTATAAGCAACTTCGAGTAGGCAACTTCTTACTCAGGTTCCCCACACCAATAAGAGCACGTTAGCCGACAGTTTAAACCTTCATTCTAATTTCTCCGTGGTCCGTTTTCTGCAAAATTTGAACAAAGTTCCGCTGTCCTTCTTCTGCAAAGTATAAACCAGGGGTTCTTGTTCCTCTTTTGTTGTTGGATTGTACATTGATATACATATGAAGATATACATGTGCCGCTCTTAGCATAGCGAATGCCAATTATAAGGACAATTTTGCGTGCTCTCCTTATACTCTTGATTCGCTCAGGGACAGACTGAGCAGATTTATTTTATTTTTTTAACACACTGGTGTGTTTTTTTGGAGCACCAAGTGCTCGCACATCTCTCAATTTTGAAGTTATGCTGCATTTGCAATAACTGCAAAACACACCGGACATTACGATGGGATCTTTCCTAATCCAATTCTTGAATTTCGTGCTTTGACGCCAGGCATCTCGGAACTCTTGTTTGTAAGCCTCTTTTGGCATGGACAATTTACATATGTTTTTTCCTCAGTTTCACAAACGAATTTCACAATATTACCTATGGAACCCGCGCTAAAATTAGGTGTGGACTTTCGATACTGTTTCGAAAGAAAAACATTTTTACTATTTTAACCGTCAAACTCAATTAAAACCGCACTTAAAATGTAGTTTCCCGCTGCCCGTTTTCAAATTTTTCCGCAATCACACTTCAAAAAATTACCAATTTGACGGGAAAAAGTAGAAACGACATCACTGACCCCTGGCTTACTTTACTTTTTTCATGCTTATCCGAAGGCATTTTGCCTCTGTCGCCGAAATGAGCAACAACAATTGCATAGGATTCCCCGTAAACGCCCAAAAAAGTTTACACTGCCAGAAATCACCTCTTGTCTCCGTTGCTTGAACATTGGTCAACTTGAGCAGCAATGCATTATTTGTCTTAAAATAATAAGTGGGGCTAAAAATTTGATATGGAGTGGCATATTAATAGTTATATGCTAAATTATCTGCATCATAGATTGTAAATTTCAGTCATTTTTATTCAGTGTAACGGCTTGAAACAAAAAAACTGGTGTTTGCTCTGCCATTAGCAATGTTTGGGCACCCCTGGTATAAACAAAACCTAGAGGTCGGTATTCTGCGGTGTAAATAAAGTTCGGCCCACTAAGTAATAATACATAAGCATCCAGCCCAAATGTGGAGAGCAATCCCTTTTACTAAATTTCATCATCTTAATTTCAGACTGTCTTGATAAATTTTAAAATCCATTTTACTCTACTGACACAAAATTTTTTTAGCTATGGTTTTATGTATGCTCATCGTTTAAGTGACAAATATATATTATACATAAATATAATATAAAAACAAATCAACATTTTTGTTTAAAGTATTTAATTGCGGAGTATTTAATTTGAACAACTAGTTCGCATAGCAAAAATGTTCAGATTAATATACGTTGTTTAACATCCTTTTTATTAATTACTTGGTATTTTACTCAAAATGACAATTTTTCAAAATCTCATTTTGGAATACCCAACTCAGAGTTGCTCCATTTTAATGGGTTGGGGTAATCGAATTCTCCCTGTAAAATATACTGTTAATGTGAATATATATAAAAATAAAAATTATACCGTTATATGATCGGGCTCATGCCATAAGTGCCAAATTACCCACCACCACATAGCTCCTCCAACAGTTGTTGCTCCAATTTTGGTTGCCGTAGAATGCGGCGGAGGAGGATTGCGATAAGAAACGCTACAAATATTATGTAAGCTTATAATCGATCTAAAGAAATGTTTCGACGAATATATGTAACTCACACATGACTTTCTCTTTGAATTGCATTACGTTCCCCTGCCAAAATACTGCGGTTGATAAAACCGATTGGGGCTCGAAAATAACTTAATTTAACAGCAATATTCATAATCTGCCAGAATTGACAATTCAGCGACAAAAAAATGTTTTTCACTTATGACAAATCGTTATCGGCCTTTGATCCGTAAAACCTTACTTTAATATATGAAAAGACAATAGGCGGAAAAATAGCAACGATTATTTAACGACGAAAATGGAACGATGGAATTGTTAGCACGAAGGGGTTTTTATCAAGTAGCCCAATCCCACACAACCCATCTAAGTGAGACGGTTGAGATTTTTGACGGTTGTTTAACTCTTGTACGCAGAAATCCACCATTCACAGTTCAAAAACAGACGTAAGCAGAAGCAGTGGCGTACGGAGAGTTTTCTGCCCTTTTAAGAAGTATTCTAACTATTTTTCCCTGCTCTTTTTTTTTAAATTGTCATGAAAAAACAAGTAAAAATTTATCTGAACGTTTTGAGTGACGTACATCTGTTCTCTGTCAAACTCTTTTAGAAGTACTTTTACCGACTCTTATTTTGTTTTAATGCTATGGATTAGTTGTTAAATGGTTATCTCAACTTTAAAAGAACTGCCCAAAAAGCTTTTTTTTCAACACGATGCCTGGGGAAGCCCAAGCCCCCCTTTTCTTCCGACTACGCCTCTGGTTCACAGAAACATAGATGGCATGGCCGCCAAGTCAATATGAATTCCATCGCGTCAAGACTTTTGAGTTGCACCGAAAAAACCTCGTCTAAATATCGGCTTAAAACATTTGTTTAGGAACGTAAATAACCGGGAAATTTTTGGCAAGGCAAAACCTTACGGACCATATTTGAAAGAGATGGTGGCTGGTGCTCTGTGTGATTAGGCCATTAGGAACGTTAATTCACCATCTAGGACTAGGTGAAAAATTGGGAGATGGTGCTCTGAGGACAGACCTTTCCAAAATAAAAAGCAAAGTAAACGAAATAAATATATACAATTTGATGTTTGTAAATCAGGTGTGAGTTCAGCCCAGGAAACTTAATAAGCCAAGTGTAATGAAATACTGTAGTGTATTACTGATTGTGATTTCGACGGCCAAAAACGTGCAATTTGAAGAGGACTTTACTGCCCAGTCGCGTTCAGATTAAAAAAGGTTTAAACATTAGCAGTACGGCACTAAGCCGTTTGCGATGGAATTATACTACCACAAGACCACGGTAATGGCGTACCAAGATATTTATTGCGTGTGAAACAAATTTTCTCTACAAGGCGGTATAGTAAAGCGGCAAAAGTAAAATACGAGTACGGCCAAACCAATCTGAGCATGTTCAATCTGTTTCGTAAAACTCCAAAAAATTTCCGCGTTAACTGTTACCATGTTCAGCTAGACGCAAGCAATTCAAGCGCAAGCGAAATCCGATCCGGTCGATATAAGCGGTGAGTGTTTAGCTCACCGGTGCAGTGTCTAAAAAGTTCTGCCAGAAAAAAAGATACGGGCCGCCGGCAGGGGCTGCCTAAAAATGCGGCATCAGCATCTTGGCTTTATATTATTTTTTTAACTTGGCTTTTTATTATATTTTTGCTTTTAACAGACAATCAATTTTTAAGACAATCATCGACATCGAACGTATTTTGTATCGCTCCGCCGTGTGATTAAAAAATATAGTGAAAATAACCGAAATTTAATTCGCGAAAAGGCGCTTAGGGTAGGCATGAGTGTGCTCATGATAATTTGCAAATTTTTCTATTGAAAAATTGTTAAGCGATAGGGTAAAAAAAATAGACACGACGTGCAAGAGCGCATGCTCTAATAAGTTAAAAAAAAATTAGCAACGCTCGTCAACAGCAACAAGAAGAAGGTCAGCTCTCGTCAATCAAAAATAACTCATACTTCTCTATAAAAGTGAGTTATCAGCACCAGACAAGTCTTGAACACTGCCAAGCGTATTTTAAGATACCAAGCTAAATCACTCTCTTCAGCATTATTATGCCCAAGCGCCAAAATACAAAACTAGCCATGGAGTGCCCAATGAACGTCACAAGATCGGAGCGTTATTACAAACTGGAATCGATCGCTATTTGCGGTTCAAAAGGAAACTTAGTACACAAAACTACTGAAATAAAAACTTCAACTAATACGCTGACAAAAAATGGGTTCTCGATTCTTAGTGACCCAAACTACGATGCTGACGCCACCTCTATATGTTCGCAAATTGTGCAGAATTGGTTAAAAAAAAATAACTGATCAAAATGACGTAAAGAAATTGTACCTCATGTCCTTTAAATAAAACCAAAATTCAAAACCTAAATGAATATAATAAATAGAAATTCAGACGAATCCGTCCAGTGCACGAATTGTCAGGAATATAAGCATACGAGAACGGATGGACCCTGCCCGCCGTCTGCGTTCCCTGTGGGGATGCACATCCAACTAAGGCATGCCCTGTCAATAAGGAGGACCATTCTGCCAAAAAATGTTGCAACTTTGGGGGAAACCACGCTGCCCTGTCTATAAAGAGATAAAATCACGCCTAGCCCAAAAATAACTGCAGCTCGAAACCCAGTCGGCCGACAAAACATACAGTATATACCATCAACCGGGATTTTCTTTTGCTCAGGCGCTAAGCTATAACAGGGCCTAGGCCGACACCTTCCCAAGCCACTGCAGGAATAGCGCAGCAACAGACATCGAACCAGGGTCCTGAAATTACCGCCCAATTGCCAAATGGGTTAGAATAAATATTGGTAACTATAACACAATGGTAGTAATGCAGACAACGTTACAGGATTTAGTGCGTATGCTAAATCTCCTTTTTTAGCTCTTAATTAAACAAAAACCAGTTAACATGGTTTTACTAATATTATCTTTTTGAAATGCAAATGGCATTTTGCAGCGCAAAAACGAGCTCTTGCAGTTCTTAGACCAATATGACATTGACGTAATGCTTATATCAGAGACTCACTTAACGAACAACAATTATTTTCATCTTGATGGCTATACATTTTATGCGACAAATCATCCCGATGGTAAAGGACATGGAGGTACTGCCATTCTGATCAAGAATCGCATTAGGCATTTCCAACTGCCATCATTTGCAACAACTTATATACAAGCAACATCAATACACATAGACACTCAAAGCGGCTACATAAACATAGCCGCCGTATACTATCCACCGCGCATCTTCATTTCCGAAGCAGAATTTGTAAAATATTTTGATCTGCTGGGAGACACACCCACTGGGGATCACGACTCACCAACCCCATAGAAGACAACTGTACAACCCTATAATAACACCACGAAACAAGCATGACTTTATCTCTCCGGGCAAGCCTACATACTGGCCAACAGATCTTAAAAAGAAGCCTGAGAGAGTGCAGGAGTCTCGTACTAGATCACTTATCAGATCTATCATCGGATCACTCTCCAATCTTACTTCACCTTTATTGCCAAAGCTTTCAGAACGCCCACACTTTCTAACTTCTAGTAAAACCGATTGGCTAAAATACAGAAAGTATGTAGCACCAATATTAATGACTGTTCAATCATTTCTGGTGAAGAAGACATTGACAGCTCTGTAGAAACATTAGTGTACGTATTGTCATTGGCTGCACAACACTCCACTCCAATAATTACAGCTAATAAACCTTTCAACAGCAGTCGTGCTTTTAGGTTGATTAAAGATCTGCTACGCAATAAGAGAACGCTTCGTCAAGAGTGGCAAGCTCATAGATAACCTGCCTCGAAGGAGCGGTTAAAACTAGCCAACAACGTTCTACAGGCATATGCCCAGCAATCGAGAGGCAATCACCTTTACATACAGAAACAGTAGATTGAGCTCGCAGCAACGAATAGAGGGCAAATACATTTGCCGTTCACCGTCTTCAAACCACTTTCAGCAACAAATAGCTCCCTATCATTTTCCAATCAGAAGAAGTTACAAGAGTCATAAAATGTCAAGATAAAAAAAGGCGCCTGGCCACGATTTAATCACTCGTAAATGATCATAGAATTTCCGAGTTGTGCAGTATATTTTCTCACCGTTATATTTAACAGCAGGATAAAATGCGGCTATTATCCTCAACAATGGGAGAAATCTGTCATCACAATGATACACAATTCCGGAAAGGACAAGACCCAGACATCGTCATATAGGCCAATCAGCCTTCTGCCGTGTATATCAAAGATACTTGAAAAGTTGCTTGTGCACCGTACCAAGCAACACCTACAGGCCCATAATGACATCCCATTGCCCAATTTGTCTTTCGCGAAAAAAATGGAACCAGTGAAAAAGTAAACCGGATAAAATATGAAATAAGAAATGCATTTGAAGGGCGAGAGTATTGCTCCGCTGTTTTTTTGGATGTCGCCCAGGCTTTCGACCGCGTTTGGCTGGACGGCTTAATTCGTAAAATTAAACTAATACTTCCAAAGTACACCCACAAAATACTGGCCTCATATCTAGAACAAAGAAGCTTTGCAGTACGATGCAAAGATTTTCTCTCTGAATAAGTCGGTCGAAATGCCCTGCCAGAGCAACGCAAAACATATCAGCTCATCTTGTGCTTTTGGAAAAATGGCTAGCATACACCTAATCGAGCACAACTGCAAACACGTCACCTTTACTTTAAACAGACAACTTACCCTTCAATATCTTTGAACAATATTAATACTACACAAACTACTGAAGAAACATACCTTGGAATCCACTTGGATAGACGGCTTACTTTGCGTATGCATATCGAATCTAAAATAAATTTACTCAAATTTAAAGCTGGGAGTCTACATTGGCTAATAAAGGCCCGTTCACCGCTAAAACTGGAGTATGTAGTTCTTTTAGACGTATAACTGCGAACTATGGGGAAACGCTTGCGTTAGTAACTAGAAATAATCCAATGAGCTCAATCAATAATTCTGAGAACTATAACCGGGGCGCCGTCGAATGAAAATATTCAAAAAGATTTAAATGTGGGATCTGTAAAAGACCAAATCGAGAAGGATAAAGCCAAGTACACGGTCAACCTTCAGGCCCATCCTAATAGACTAGCGCGGTCTTTAACCGAAGAGGCCTTCCCACACACCAATAATAGTAGGGCCGCGTTTAAAATAAAATGAATTGTAACTTATTCAATAAATACACTAGATTAAGATT